ATAGTTTTGGCCATGTTACAGCTAACAGCTAACTTCCTTGCTTTGTGATTAAAGGGAAAACTTTAAAGTTTAATTTTCATTAACGACCTAAGCTCATATTTGTCAATTTTTACGCCTAACGGCAGAAATTTTTTAGCCGTTTATACGGCTAACGGTTAACAACACCATTGAGACCCTCTTGAGACCTTCAGCCATGGACAATTCCCAGAAGAGATTAATGAAGCCGGTCAACCGACCGGGCAGGCTAGGTCACAATGCAAAACTGAGGTGCTTTCGCATAAGCTCGTTAGAAAAATAACAAAGTACCCGTTCTGATTATATGTTTATTTGTTTATGTTTTACCAAACAGGTATCGATTAATTATTGCAATGCGATGGCTACCTGGATGGCATATATATTTGCCTCAAGGCCATTTTATTCGGAGTATTAAAGGCTGATTATATTTACACGAGGTCTAACCCAAACCACGGTTTTAGGCAAGTAGTAGGCCTCTGGGATTCTCTATAAGAGGGTTGATGTAATTAAATAAATGTCCTTCCACTATAAGCTTTCGGCCCTCTTGGCACTGTTCACAGAGATAAAAGTTCAGATAAAAGGTTCGGCCAAATAGAAGCTAAGATGGCTTAGCTTGGCACAGAAGTTTGTAAACAACGGCTTACTTTGTTTACATAACCGGCCTTATAAACTTTTATTTAAAGCGGTTAAAAATGAAAATAGAATTTTCTTAATTCCATGATTGATAAGTTTAACATAAAGAAAATTATGCAGGCGCTTGTTTATTAATCCATAATTTGAAATAGAGGATGTGATGAAAGGGGGTAAGTTTGCCATGATGCGACGGTGAGGGTATAACTAAATCATTTGATTTTATCAACTGACTTGATAATGTAAATTAGCCGCCGTAAAGAGTTTTCAAAGCTGACGTTTTGAGCGTCGGCGCTTTGTCAGAGCAAATCGCATTACAGAGTGTGTGAAGACCAGATGAAAACAGTTGGCTTGATAATCGAATCCCTTTACGTGGGGATATCATTATGAACTAAACTACACGATAGCAGTTGTATTGTAGAATGCCGGCGTTCTATCTTCAACAAGTAACCGAGTCTTAACGTACTAAAATTCTAAAATAAAATGTTCATTAAGCGTCTGAAAGTACTTGCTAATTTATAGATAACGCTATAATTAACTGCACAGGTCTCAATGAAAATGAATCATTACGCCTGTTTAGGGTACCTTCTCTTTTACAGTTATTTATCTAAAAGGCTTAAGTTGATATCTTTTTTGCTGTTCCACAAGATCTAGATGTTTCCCTTTGTATTTATTGATCAATCCTTCGACAGATGCCGTCGAAAGTGAGCTCAAATAAAGAGATTCGCTGGCTCTCTTTCTGACAGCTTTTTGTCGAAGTGTCTTTGATGTGTAAATTGGAGGCAAAATCCACTTTTCTTCATTGTGTACCTCATTAAAAGTTATCTTACTCGACGTTTCTCCGTTAATTGTCTTGTTCTGGCCTTTTTTATGGCAGTTTCGTTGTGGCCCGAGCGTCGAATTCCGTTTAAGAAAATCAACGTAATCATTGCGGTCCCTGTGAGCGTTCGTGGTCGAACTTAGAGGTTTCGATGCGACGAACCTGGAAAATGGCTTTTGCGATTTGCAATTACAACAATACAATATATCTACATTACGTTGTGTGTTTATGAAACTATCTTCCAACGATTTATCGCCTTTGGGTGTACTTTTATCCGGTTTCCAAAACGGTGAATAAAAAGTTTTAGGAATCACGCATCGTTTTAAACCTGAATGTTTTGGTGCGAAAGGAGCATCGCCCAATTTCTTTAAATCTTTTGTGCTTGGCGTTTTCTCTTTGGTTGCGCCAATGGTGTTGATTGTGTGTTCGCTTCCGTGCGATAATAATGTCTCTTTATTAAGTGCTGGTTTTTCATTAACATTGCTGCTAATATAAGTGTTATCCTCGAAGTTCTGTATGGAATCATCTACTGAAACGGTTTCTGTGGTATTCAAGCGAATATCAGCTTGGCTGTTTGTTGTAATGCGACTTTTATTAAAACCACTCTTTGACAAAGACATTCTGTCAGCCAGTTCCGTTTGGCTTTGTGATATGAAATGTTTAGACAATTCTTTTGCATTTTTGGACAAAGTCCTTAAGGCTGTGTCCTCATCGCTCGCTTTATCTTCATTTGCGCTGGTATTTGTATATTCGGAAGTATATGTGCAACGCTTAATGCTGTTTTCTTTAGGAGACACCTGATCATTCCCGTTTACACCTTCATCACCCGAGAACGTATTCTGAGCCTGGATATCAAATGTCCTTCCCACATGGCCTTCGCCATTTGTCTGGGCAATCGGCAAGGTCGGCGTTTGTACTGAAAATTGCCAATCTTTTTTATGATGAGTATCTCCTTTCCATATTTCACTTGCGTTCCCAGATATCGAGAACCCGTCTTCAAAAGCGTCAATGAAATCGAAATTTAGATCTTCATCGAAGAACGTGTTTACAGGCTGTTCCAGAAAATCTTCGCCTTCTCCGTACAATATCGGGCTAGAACATAACGACCCAAGGTCGAAGATCGGGTTTGCCATTAGTGAAACTCTCCTTGCAATATCTGTGCTTTGATCCTTTCAAAGCTAGTTGTGATTTACAACACAAGGGAATTTTTCCTTCTCGTATTAAGAAAACCATCAGCTGCTGCAGTCGTCATGGAGACAAAAGGGACAATTAATTTCGTTGCTCGAGTTTAACAATAGCGATAAATTTTCTGATTGTTGTAAACTTAAAACCCTGCGGGGTATCTTTACTTTACCTGTCTTGTTTTAGGTTATCATAATAAATTATAGATGAATTTAAAGAAATTCTCTGTTTTTTGCGCCGCCGAAATTGTTCCGACAACAATACACGTTTCAGTGTAAAGCTGTTCTTTTATGTAGCTGGCGCTGTTGTTCCATTTCTTGTTTTATAAAATTTTATTTCAAATTTGACTTCCTTCTAAATATTCGTCGGCATTATTTGATGTCTTGCATCTCATTTCGAAATACATTTGATCAATTAACATTATAAATGGGTCTCGGCCATTACTCAGTGGCTAAATGAACTGTTTATATAAATTACACGCCTGGCTCGAGGGCTTGAATTAATAGACCACACGCAAAACAGTTGTTTGAAAAAATTGTTTAAAATTTTCTCCTGATTTGGTGAAAGCATTGCTATTAGGCCGATGCTTCAAAAGGATTTGTGAGAAATATAACGAAAAGATTTCCTGTTTTTGATTCCCTGATTGACAGGCTCTATAAGTCGAACAGATGAACCAGCAAATTTTTTTTTGTGTCTGTCTAAAAAACTGAGAAAACCTGGACAGCTGTATTGACAGAAAATGCAAAATTGAAGTCAAATTTACCCCCAAAAATTAAAAAATAAGAGAGATTATCTTTAAGAGAACGCCTGCTGTGATAAATTTCTTTTTATCAATCACAATCACGAACTTGAAAAATTACCGCTGTTTTTGTTAAAAGTATTTGAAAGACTTTTCCATAATAACACAAGAACAGTCACGACAAGTCTAACGAAAAAGAGCTCGGTTTAAACTAAAATAAAAGCAAAGGTAAGCGTCGAAAGATTGAAACCCAACTTCGTCGCACAGATTCAAAGTTTTGACCCCCACGAACCGTTCCCCTTTCCTTTTAGCGCATGCGCTAACCTTATGACCGGCACAAAACTCCACGTGCCGACAAAAATTGCCAATGAGATCTCGCTTTACGTCCAACAAGGTTAAGACATTGAAAGCCTGTATGCATGGCAAGAATTGATTAATTTTCACCATTATTTGTGGACAAAAGGTTCCTCACACGTTGGTCCCTTCATCAATTAGCGGTAACCCTACTGATGGGGTTTTACGAACTTATAAAATGAAAAGATCTTTTCCATTTCAACGTAATGAAAAATTCAGACAATGGTACCACTAAAGAAGGTTGAATGTGTAGTCAACAAAAATATATATATATATATATATATTTTTTTTTTTGTCAAATAAATCTAAAAAAAAAATGTCGATATGTAAACAGGAAGAAAATGTTTCGCACATTGCACCCTTAACAGTTTCATGTGTGCCTAGGGCCCAGTTGTTCGAAGGCCGATTAGCGCTAACTCAGGGGTAAACTTTAATCCAGGTTTCTTTATTCCTTTGTTCAAAAACCTTTTAGAGACAATTTTCCCTATTCTCGTTAGAACATCCAGTGATCAAATTGCAAGCAAAAAGATTTGAACTGCATTTTCTAGATCTTTTGAAGCTTTCAGACCAGAAATCAGCTTTCAGACTAACTCCTGAGTTATCTAAACTCAGCTTTGAACGACCCAGGCCAGATGTTTCTATTATATTTTTTTTCTGTGAAAGAATGGCATTAAACAATTTATCAAATATTCTGAAATTCCGGATCTGGGAAGTTAGCTTATCAAGAACCGAGCAGGGTAAAGTGAAACTTTTATTAACCATGTAACCCTCCAGAAGTGATAAACATGTAACTTCTCCCAATAAAATCCATACATTGCCAAGTATACAGGTAATGAGAAGACCCAAACTTATCAGGAAGAGGTTGTTATCTTGATTTAATATTAAATAATAATAATAATAATAATAATAATAAATCTTAATCTCATAATAATAAATTTTAATAAATTAACGAGGAAATAATTAACAGTTGGAAGGGAGAATTTACAACCAGATCCAGGCAGCTACAACTACAACGCACTATTCTCACTAACAACTGCTGCCCTGGTTGTCCCTAAAAAGAAAATATTTATTCCAATCAAGAATAGATTTTCGCATAGCTCCTGATTATTTTGAAAAACGGAATCCCTTGCCATAGTAGAAATCGAAAGAAAGAAAGAGAGAGACTATCTTCCGTCACAGCGGCGTGGCCAGGCTGCTAAGCAAGATTCAAAATGGCGGCATCCGAAATCAACGTTGAGCACATAGGTGAGAACAATACTAGAAAATTAAGTTATTCTTTGCAGTCAGTAGATCAATTCTAAAAGTAATCTTAAGAGCTAAACTAAACATTAGATGGTTTCTAAAGCAAACTACTTCTATAGAAGCTCAGAGAAATCCCTCTTAAAGAAAACTGATGATTTTCTTTTGTCTCTGCTTTTAGCCAGGTTTACTTCGAAACATTAATTGTCCAAATTCGATTGGAAAGCCTGTTTCAAGCGTTCAGTCAGAAAAACGAATTGGGGTAGCAAACAGTGCGATGGTAGCGGAGGGTTGGAAAACGAGAGAGGCCTGGGTCAAGCCGCGTACCCCGACCCAAGCCTCCGTCGTTTTTACAAATGGCGAGAGCGAAGCTTCACGCAACGACGAGTCACGCCAGCGCAAAGAGATAAGGAGTAACAGGTCACGGGCACCATCACAATGCAAATGACTGCCCACAATCTCGCGATTTCCGAATGAAACTTTCTTGCAGGCTTCTGTTAAAGGCTCTAAACCACTCTAGGATAATCCTCTGATTCCAGGTCATGAGTTACGATGGTCCAGTTTTCTTCTCGTATTTGAAATGAGCGGCGATAGTGAACCCTCTGCAAACATGATAACACGAGCTTTAACAGGATGAAAAGAACTGGGGTTAATCCACCGGCTATGTAATAAACATCTACTGAAAAGGATGTGTTAGGGCCGAATGTTGCCCAAAAATACACCATTAAGGTCATGAGAGGAATAGTTGCCAGCTTGAACGCGAGATACGAGTGTGCCGTACACCGAAAGCGAGGATCCTCGCGAGGATTTTCTTGCGATTCCGGATCAGTCGGGCCTTTCCATATTGCGATAATAAACACTACTCCTTGAGATATGCCGGCCATGAAAACGATTGAAGCAGCCGCTTGGAGAGCAAGGCGACTATCTGGTTTGCCGCGTCCGGCGTAACGATCCAGTGTGGCGTTGATCAGGGGAAAAAGACCCAGGAAAGCCAGAGATAAATTGTTGAGAATTAGCATTACTTGGTTTAGTGTATGGATGTAGTTGAAGAGCGAATGGTGCGTGAACCACAGAAGAGCCACGACTATGAACGTGACTGCATACGTGGAAATGTCTGGCCTAACGTTTTGCATCGTATATACAAAACCATGGCTGCTTATTTCCGCTTTCGTCGGGAAATCTTCGACTGTAACATCTAGAATTAACAACGTAGACACGATAGCGAAGACTCCGTCGCTAAAGAATTCCACTCTCTCTTTGTCGATGAAATTCCCGAACATGCGATCGAATTCCGAGTCAGTCAGACGAATATGCGACCATTTGCGATAAGTAACACCGACAAGACGATTAATCCAAGGGGACACGGCGACAACAGCCGCTACCACGAGCGCTAGCGGCTTCTGTAAGAAGCTAAGGAGACCAGCGAGCACGTAAAGACTTGCTATGACGGCTTTCTTTACGAGCATAAGTTTCATTCTTTGCTTCATTTCATCTTGGGTGAGAGTGTCAAATTCTTGAGCCAACAAACGTGGCTGGCGGAAAGCATACACTATCATGATTACCTCCAATATCTCCAAAGAAATTAGATTTCCGCATACCAGCGCCATTGGTGTACCCTTGGTTGTAAACGTTCCCTCTAGAGCGCACGTGAACGGGAGGCACGAAGTAAACAGCAGAGAAGTAAGGTTGAACCAGATCATGACATCGTCCACCCGTGACAAGATACGAAATCGAAGCACATGAGACTCCCATACAGCGCACATCATGAGAAAACCGACCATGTAGATCACAAGCTGGGGCCATCTATGTTTTAGTTGTTCTTCCAAGCTGACGTGCTCCGAGGCCCCTGTCTCTTCGAGTTTTCGCACCGGCAGAACTAAGATAGTGGCAACTATGGCGAAAACAGCGTCGTTGAAAGCTTGCAGACGATCGAGATGATAAACATCAACCTCTGCTCCTTCCATGTTGTATGGATCGCTTTTTCTACCAACTTTGATCTAGGTCTGTGATCGCGGGAGCCCTTAAAGCGATAAGAAAACTTTCGTGGTTGCGATCTGTTAGCCCTCTTTAAATTAAGGTTTGATAGTCTTTCTGTAGAAAGCAAATCATTTCATAACGCAAATTTGAATTCCACATGAAACGTCTTCGACACGTCTCACTGATGCGTATCTTTCCAAGAACTCCAAAATGTTTCCGGCCTTTTTCGGCGAAAAGTCAAGGCTTTAGGACGCTTACCCCAGACCTCGCTCGAGATCCAAAGTCACACAAAGGAACTGGAAGCTTCACAACGTATTTTTAACTTTAAATCATAATTTGACTGGAAATGTAAACAGTTCGAAAATGATGGCTTCGCAGTTAAGAATATTTTATGCTTTAATAAGACACCCTCTAACGAAGGTCAGAGACCGAGAAGTGGAGCCCAGACTCTTGGAGTTTATTAACATCTCAGGCTTTCATGAAGCCTGATGGCAGGCTGAGGGAAGATCGAGGGGGTGGGAAATCTCATCAAGGAAGGGGACTTATCTACCAAAATTTTTCTGCGAGCTAGTTGAAACACAAGTTACTCGATTTTCTCCTGCTTTATCGCCAATATGAAATGAATATCAGAGATAATTTATTGCTCTACGGTTCAAAGCTTTTGATGTTAAAACCGGAAGCTGTTGCAGGCTTTCGAAACAAGTATTTACTGTACCGCAACGCTACCTTCTACAATTATAAGACAACCAACTTAGTATTGTACAGTTTTTCATTTCGAGGTGAGTGGGAAGCGTTGAAGAGGAGGAAAAATTACTGCAGACTAGAGTTTAAGAAGGGGAGCTTGTCACCGGAAGGGGAAGAAAGAAAATAATGGAATTTATCATGACCCGTCACAGTCTGGGCTCAATTCCACCACTTTTTCGTGTCCGGTCTTCAGGAGCGCGGGCTCATATTTCCGACGGAAGATGAAGTAGGGCGTAAAATGAGAGTCCATAAGTGCAATCCAAAAGAAAACATTGCGAAAGCTGAAGTGACCACGAGCCAAATATTTTTCCTTCCGGCCCTCCCACCCAGGCGATAAGTAAACATCATTGACGCTAAGTTTGGTCCGAAGGTTTCCTTCTTTCCTTCCATTGGCTTAGTTCATTCTCAGGCACTAATCGTTCATCGTTGTGAAAAGCAGGAAAAAGCAAGAGTGTACTCAGAAAGATTCATGGCGAGGGATAACACATTGCCATTCGGTATCATCACTGGGATGGCAATTTTGATACCAAAGATCCAATGTTCGTCACGTGTTGCCAACTGTCACAACTTCACCCCTTCCCACCCCTTTTGAGTGTTGACAACAGCCGAATTTTTTTGGCGTGAATTTCGTAACTTCACCTCTTTAAGCGCAGGAGAGCAGTTTGCAATTCTTAATGGGGCACAAAAAGTTTGACGGGGGTGGGGTGTGTAAATTAGAGACCACGGGAACTCGGGAGCTCAAGATCTACGAACACACCAAGAACTTGTACATTGAGCTTTAATCAACTGTCTACACTCCTGATCGGAAGTCCCGTTTGTACAGTGAAATCTAAACGGGTGCGAGAGGTAAAGGATTATTTACTGTGAGTTCCACTTTGGTTCAATCTCGGCCAACTCGGGAGGGACATTCCACATCTACCCCTTCCCAATCTTTACCTCTCATCTCCGTTTCAGAAAGCCACTTTGTCATAATACTGACTTTCTAGTTTACAGAGGATAATTGAAGCTAGTATGTATGTTGAACTGGCTCTTAATTTACTCTTAAACTCCTGACAGTTCAAGCCTAACCTGAGTTTGGTATACTTAAAAATTCCTAGGTCTACATATTATGTTCATCTTAAATATTTATATGATAACATGTTAAAAGCTCTAGGCAGGTTTTGCTCCACAATCCTTGAACAATTTTGCTCAATCTACAAAAATGTCACACCGATATCTTAATTATTTTCACCACTTTAAAGCAAGCAATGTCTAGAGCAGCTCACACTCTAACATTTAAATGTGAAGAATCCTAAATCCATAATTTATGCGTACAGTAAATGCTATGGTTAAAACCTTTGGTTTAGGTTTTTCTTTCCGTTGTTTTGCTGGCTCAAAACAAAGGAAAGTGTGTTGAACGAGAAAACTGCCTAAAATCGAACAAAAAACCCCTCAAAAATGGAGAAATCTGACCTCACTTGAAAAATAAAAAAATAACAATGATAAAACCCCTTAAACAAACAAACAAACAAAAGAAAGAAAGGCAGAAACCTTTGACTCGTACAACCACTTTTCTATGACGAAAAAAAAGAATTTTTTGAGTTTTTTCTGAGTGTTTTTGTTCGTTCCTGGCGAAAAATTACTTTAAATCAACAACAACAACAACAACGGAAAAAAAATATAATCTTGAGACCACATGACGACTTGTTAAATGGCATAAAAATGGACACCGACGCCCAATAAGGGAAAGTGGGCATTTTAACGGTGGTAGGAGTAGGAAAATCTGTTACTAATACCATGAGCGGGAAACTTAGCAGCCGTTTCCAAAGGCGGGAAAATATTGGTAACCAGTGCCAAGAGCGGGAAAATCTGCTACCGATGCGCAGAGCGCAAAAACACATAAAAGCGCGCGAAAGCTTGCTGTCATTAAAAAGGGGCAGAAAAATAGGAAAACTAATGCCAAGCACAGAGTAAAACGAAACTGCTCTCTCTTTCTCTACTGTCTCTTTTGTATAAACTGGTTCAAAACCTAGCCAGGTTTTTATCGTGACCAAAGGCTACACGTTTAATTAGCTATGCAAAAACTTGCCCCGGAGCAAAGTCTAGCTTATACGAGATGTTTACATTATACACACGCAAACCTTTCTGTCAAACCTTATTAAATATACACTTCTACGTGAATATGAAATCTAGTTTCTTTTTCTTAGGGTTAAACAGAATAGTCTTCGACAATAGAAGTAAGGGAAGACGAGGCAAGAAAGCTTTCAAAACTTTCAGACGAGGACTGTAACTTCGAAATTTGCCGTAAAAGAGTATTTAGACCTGATTCGATACTCCCTCAAGCTTCACAGTAATGAAGACAACAAAATGGATGTGTAATTCTAAAACAAAATTTAAGTAGGATTAACTGAGCCACACAGGTTCACTATCTTAGAACCTACCATAAAAGGCCTAAGACTTTCTCGAATTCTCTTGATTACTGTTGTAATTCCATTTAATATATTTGTTGTTGTTTGTGATGATGATGATGATAATGATAATGATGACGATGACCACAACGATGAGTGTCGTTAAATTTGGTTTGGTTTCCAGATCAATGTCTTCACCATCATAATTAAATGAACGTTCCGGTTGGCTTTGAAAATCTGCAGGACTATACCCTTACTATATTAAAGGAAAAATAGTCTACACCACAAAATTAATCAAAGATTTCACCGTTTCCAACACATCTCTCTTCTATCAGGGAGACAACACAAATACCATTACACCTCTTATTGCACAAACATTAAAATATTTGCGGTCGGTTTCTCGACCCTCACGTACATATTTAGGTACTTATCAACCAGCATGAGATTATATGAGGATATACATGATGTACATGGTGATGCACAACCTATTAATATGATCACCGCACCTTAGCATATCTTTACATCACACTATATGCGAGGATCGACAAATTATACTGTACATGTCGCTTAGCGAAAGTACACCCACAGGAAAACTAGACAAACCAGTAACAGGACAGTCATGATTCGTAAAAACCACTTCAGAGCAGGATCTTCCTCGACAAACTGGACTACACTCAGTTTGATTTTCTCGCCTGTTGCATCTTCCAGTGCCATAGTCTCGCCATTCACATTCGGCTTGGGTGGAACAGCATTCTTTTCCTCGATTTTGGTAACTTCTCCATCAGCGTCGAAAGAAGTTTCCACACGAGTTGTTGGACTTAGATGGCCTGAAATTTACCAATGGCGGAGAATTTTAACCCTTCGATCTCATTAGTAAATCTCCTTACTGTCTACCATACAATTCTTACGATGTTAGTTCCGAGAATTTGTATTATATCAACTAACAATCCCAATGTTGATACATTACTCATCACTTATCTGCTTGAAAAAAATTCCGTCTTGGCTATTCATGAGAGTTTCATTTTAAAATACACTGTAGGGTGATATTTCATCATTCACACAATACATATTTGGTCCACCACGACTTGTTTTGATTCTGCAACTGTTTGTAACTCAACCACAATAAACAAAATCCCCAAAATGTTCCGCATAAATAATCTTCACCAACAATGAAACCTTACCATTCTTTTCCAAAAGCTCGACTTTTTCGGTACCAGTCACACCACCAATTTCCACCTTCTCAGCTTCATCTGCTTCGCCAATGGATCCAAATGAGATGGGAGGCTCATTGATTGTTGGCCAAGTCAGGCCACCAAGCTCGTCTCGTGGGATCTTCTTTGTGAACAAACTCACCACAACCATGATAAAGCCACTCACTCCAAAAATAATGATGGCTAGAAAATGAAAAAGTTAAAATTTTGGTATTTGATGACCTTCTATAAAACTGGACCATCAACCTGGGGTAAGAAATTTAAGAAACACCCATTGCCCTCAGGGTTGTGGTCATTGAAATGAAGCCGGAAAGGGTGATGAGAACTACTCTCACACAGATACCATTCAACATGCTTTTGGTGGCAGTTCCTGTTCTGTTCGAGTTTATAACTGTATCCTTTGCTCAACTGGGTATGGTTCATTTTGCCAGACAAAATAGCTCTAACTTTTAGTTTGTGGGTGAGAATCCCAAAGTGTAATTATTAAAAACCAAAGCAAAAATAAAGAGCATTTCCAAGCCATATTTTGAAATCAAAATTTGAAGAATAGGAAAGCAGATTCTGGCACACTAACCTGTTCATTTTGTTTCTTTAGCTGTCACTCTTATTGTATAATTTTCAAAACTTTTTATCCTCAACAATCAAATTTACTCACCATAAAACATGAAATGCATTTTAGCAAATCCAGGTCGTGTATCTTCTTCACCACACTTAGGATCTGACCAAATATTACCAGCAATAAACTTGGCCATTCCCAGCAAGAACCCAATCACCAAGCCTGACAGCGCTCCTGCTGCTGTCAGACCTGTCCACAGGATACCCAACCCAAACACCATAGTAATTGGTGGGGCAAGGTAGGATTGGATTGTCTGAATGTAAACAAAAAGCTGTTTCCCTGCAGCACCTGTTGACAAAAATGTACATAAATATAAAATGACTGGTTTGACTCGAGAGTGTTCTATAGCCATGTGGACATGATTCACAAAAAAGCAAACTGATATCAAGTGGTTACCTATCTTTTTAATGCTTGAAAATTATGATAGTACTGTTTTGTCAGGAGCGAAATGATTTACATAATTCAGGGCTTGAAATAACTGGTGCTCAGTAGCCAATGTCCAAATAAAGGTTTAGTCTGGTTAACTCCTCAGATGGCTGGTCATTTTGTCCAGTTGTTTGAGCATGCAGAGAAGAATCTAATTCCAAGCTTAGTTCAAGTTTTAAATACAGGTGTATTTAAGGCTGCATGTGCAATAATGGAATTGTAAATAAACTTGTTTTGTGGGGATGGGAGGCAGGAGGGAAAATTCATTAAGATATGGCATGATAAATATTCTTTTGGCCAATAATGGGCTGTGCCTGAGTAAAAATAACTTTAACTGGACAAATTATTTCCAGTGTTGTGAGAAAAAGAATTGTCAAGCAGGCTACCTACATGCAGCACCAAAGAAGAAAAAATCATGGAGAGAACAATTAACACAATCGCCAGGACTCCACTTAAAAGAATTAATTTTTGGAGCCAGCTTTGTGGCCCTCAAATGCTGGCTAAATTCTGGAAACTTGTTCATTCCCTAAGAGACATACAGAATCCATATGATGCCCAGTGATGATGATGTTGATAATAATGAGTTGAAATACCTTGAATGATTGGCAACCAACATAAACTGACAACCACAAGGAGGGCAACAACCACCCGGCCAACAATGACTTTTTCTCTTTCTGTGGCCTGCAGCATGAAAAAGAAAGAAATGCAATTTGTAAATACTTACAAAGAGAAGACAGTCTTTGCTTAGCTAACACACTACCTGAAGAAACAGCCTCTTTACAAATACTGTCCAGAGGATCTCTTCATTATCGCGACTGAGGTATAAAATAAGGTATGTGTACATGTGTATGTAGAATCCCACAAAGTGCTAAACTCATTTCTCTGATAACAGTAGCTTTTGCCTTCAGTTTTCAACTTCCCCATCCCTCCACCGTTTACATTTTAAGCATCAGGTAAGTAAAGTTTAGAATTACATGTACTTATGATGGCAAGGTCTGTTCGTGACAGGTGGAGTGACAGGAGACCTTTGGAAAGCTCATCACAGTTAAAAACCACAGTAAAAGTTAAGGCTGCTCATTGGATACCAAAGATCAGAGAATTCTCCACCCATTCCACCAAATTCTTGAGCGAAATGTTTAAGACCACACCTACTTTTCATTTGGCTGCAAAGAATATTTTTATGCTACTTGACCCTTAAGCCCCTAAGAGTGACTAGCATCTAATTTCTCCTTACTATAATTATCACCCCCTGAATCAAACATGAAAGTTATGAGAATAGAGGAGATGATCACTGACAAAAACAGCTCTTGACTGTTAAACAAATTATCCCTGTCAAACTCTTTGGAAATGTATAGAGAACAGTATGGAGAATATGCATACTGATGTTTGGGTGTAAAGGGTTAACACTATTCTACTGGCTATTTTATATTTTCTGGGTGAAAACCTTGACATTCGCATACCATTGGCCTGAAGCGGAGCCACACATCCACAGTAAAGATGGTGGCACTGCTGTTAAAAGCAGAGGAAAGAGAAGACATCAGTGCTGCCATCATCACTGCCATCATCAGGCCAACCAATCCAGTGGGAAGAACATTAAGAACCAGTCTATTCAGAAAAAAAAAACAAACCAATATGTCTTGATAAGAAAAAACTGTGGACACACACCGTCAGATAAAAAATGGTTAGGTACAAAGACTAGTAACCTCTCTGAACATGTGTGTAAGGAGAGTAGCAAGGATTAAGGGGGTGGGAAGGGTGGGGGAGATCCTGATCCCATTTCAGACACATTTTAGAAAAAAAATTCACTCCTCTAATACAAAAGGGAGAAATTCAAATTTCTCCTGTTGTGAACATTGCTGTTAAATCAATCAATAAGGTCACAAAACTAAAGGAAATAATTGCCAATAAAAGAAGCTCCGCCTTGCTTGTTACACAAATTTTTCTTGTCAGTACCATAAGAAATGCAAAGAAAACAGTATGGAGAACATAATGGCGTGCTTTAAGGGTGTACATGATTGAAAAAGTAAAGTTGTTGGTATCATAGTAAATCAGAGGTAATTTTCAGATGACAGTATAGAGTGAAAACTTCCTATTTAATCCTGAGATTTCCAAGTACACCACAATAATATGAATTAAACTTAGAAATTTTTTGAGGGCATTTAAGTGAACTTCACTAAGCACATGTCCAAGAAAACCTTCCCTTCCTTGCGTTCAAGAATCTGTCTCAAAAAATTATAATTGACGCATGACTAACATTCTAGGGGAAACAATATGTTTCAAATGGTCATGCACAGCTGAATTCTTTAATAGCACATGCACCAGCATGGTGCCCTTCAAAAGGTAAGCTATGTGCAAATGAAACAACTGACACAACAAGGCTAAACAATAACCTTACTTGGGATAGGCATTGTTAGAGCAGCCCCACTCATTATCGCAATGAAATTTACAGCTGACGGGATCCGCACAACCAATGGAGTCAGGGTAGAGGACGCGGCTGATCATTCCTGGCATCACCATTATGAAGATGGGCAGGATCTTCAGAAAGCCAGCAAAAATGGAACCTGCCTTGGCCTGAATGTTGTTCTTAGCTCCCAAGGTACGCTGAACAATCACCTGGAAGTAAAGAAAGATGCAAAAGATGTCAAAGATGGAAGCGTCACCTTGCTCAAGCTGTTGATTACTTGACTTTGTCGAAGACTGGGGCTGAACATACATTGTAGTTAAGATCTTTGATTGACAGAAAATGTGCATGCAAGTGCAATCAAGTGTAACCATTTTCATCCTGAGTTACCATATATACAGAAGTGTGTTGTTGAGGTTTTGCATTTGATCACAATAAATTACAATTTTGATACAAAAGGAATGAATTCTACTGTAGGGAAATAATATGATAATTTAAAGGGTTGAGCTGGTTTAAGCGGGTGCAAAATTTTTGGGTGGGTGCAACAAATATGGGGCCTACTTGAAATGGGGCACACCCTCCAGATACCCTCAACCTTTTGACCCCTTGACCTTTCAGGGCGTGAAATTAATTTTTTTTTCTGATAGCCACTTGGCTCCTAAATTCATCAAAGTGGTAGCCAATTCAAAAAAAGTTGGTCGCCATTTTGAAAGACAAACAAAACCTTTTTTTTATGCTGTCATCGTTCTAGAAATTAAGTAAGGGAAAAGATCTTTAACGTGCTACAAAGGGGACACTAGGATGGATGATATGCAATGTTTAAGCTCACCTAAATCCAAGATGGTGTCTAGTTATTGATCAAAATGCATCTGCTGCATTTTGGAAACAAACTTAACGAGGAAGCTTGCCGCGGATTTGTCTTTGCAAATCTTTTTAATTCACTATATCTCTAGGTAAGGTTATGATGAAACATTCTAGTCGCCAATTTGGCGACTAATTTTCAGGTTTTGGTCGCCAAAGTGACAAATTTAGTCACATTTGCGCCTGTATTAGGCGCAATTTCACGCCCTGCCTTTTAACCCTTCGACAAGCACCTAATTTCTCCTCACAACAATACCCCTACATCAAAACCTTAAAGTCCCATGAATAAAAGATTGAAATGTTAGCCAATTAAAGAAGCTCTGGATTGTTCAAACAAATTCTCCTTATCGGCACCATAGGAAAAGTAAAGAGAACAGTAGGGAGAATATGTATACTGATGTCAAGGAGTAAAGGGTTAAAAATACGCTTGACCTACCTGATCTGTACACCAATACCAGACTCCCATAATAGGAAGAGTGGTCCACAATCCAAGCCATGGATAGTCAGGGTCATCTATTGGACGGAACATGTTTGCCCAGTAAGGAGTCAATTTGAAGCACCCGCTTAGGTCAGGTCCAGTGGTTGGCATAGCAGTCGTCATGTTCGCCAGCATCATGTTCGTCATGTTTGTCATATTGACTGCCATTGTGGTGGGTACAACAGTAGTTGCATAAGGACTACCCTGGGCACTTCCGAACTTTTCCCAAAGACCATTGTATCCTCCAACTTTCACAAAGCCTTAACACCATATTTAGAAAAAACATCAGTACTGATGCCCACTGGCACACCAAGTCCATAAAAGATAACTAGCATAGTTAAAGATTTGAGGGGGGTGCTGCTTTACAAATAATTTGTGAACACCTCTTATTATTGGACTAGACAGTAAATCATGACACCAAAAAAACTCTTTATGGACATTGATTAATATATCTTTTCATGGAAAAAAAAAATAAACAACAGTTAACTCAGCAAAATGTGAGACAACAGTGTGTGCACATGACGCGTTCTGTCCACTTACACAGGCATGACATGTTAACTGTACCTTTAACCGTCCTATTAAACTATCAAATTACAAGGATGACATGTACACTGCCCTATCAGTGTTCAAATCAGGCTGGTGATAACCAATCACATTCAAGAATTTTGTTTTCAGTTTTGATTAATGTAAGTAATCATGTGCTCTTACTTAATATTGCCAGTACAATGGCTCCCAAAATCATGATGGTACACTGGAGAACGTCAGTGAAGATTACAGCAGTCAAACCACCTGCAGAGAAGACAGAAAATATAAGTAACAATTAAACTTTCACTCCTTGTTAAGCATCAAAGGAACCAATGAATGTTTTGTGACCAATGTATGTGTTATCTCTGCGGGGTTAGTGTGAAATTTGATTTCTGACCTGAAAGCTTAAAAAAAAAAAAAAAAATCTGTTTAATTCTTTTTGTCTACAATTTGATTATTGGATGCTCTTAAAAGAACAAGGAAACTTTTCTGAAAAAGGCTCTTGAATAGACAAACAAAGAAACCTGGATTCAAATTTAACCCTGGATTGGTGCTAATTGGCCTTCAAACAACTGGGCCCTGGGTGGTGAGGAGCACTGAGAGGGTAATACATTTTGCTCAGGAACCGAACACACTGACCCAGCTGGCTCTCACACCTGACCCCACAACCAGCCCAAAAAAATTGCCTCCACCTCTCCCACAACATGAGCCACATTTGAACACAAGTACATGTAGATATAATACGACTATCTTTAGTTAGGAACTGTTCGTATTGAACTTACCCAGGACAGTGTAGACAGCCGTTATTGCCAAGGTCACAGCAGCAGAGATATAAATATTCCAGCCAATTGCTTCATACAGAAACAAACTACCAGCATAAATGTCAACCTACAATACAAACAATGACTACTGATTTATGACACCCTTGATAATGGAATTTTATTGAAAATCTGAGATGGAGTCAAAATTTTTCAATTTCCCTTCTGACACCCTTGTGTCAGACCAAATTGAGGTTCCCAGCATTTTCCATCTATTTTTAAAGGGTGGGTGGTGAAATATTGCTGACCCTCTAAGGTATCATCTTCTTTTTTTTTTTTTGCAGATTTGTGAGTCAAGCAGATCTCCAATAGGAAACCGCTCCAAGTGAACTGTCACAAGTCACTGCACAAGCATAACACACTGGCTCTCTGGATGAAACATACACATGATGTGCTAGAGGTTTCAGTTAGTACTGTAACAATTCACTCCAAGGTGTACTCACCGAAAACTTTGTGAAGACATATGAGAACAAAGCCACCACAGTAAGGTATGTTCTAATCCACTGGCTCTGAAACCTTTTTTGCAGAAATTCAGGCATGGTAAACACCTGCAGTTGATTAAAAAAAAAAAAAAAAAAACACTGTTGTAGCAAATGTTTGCACACAATATATTCATAGTGAGTTGAGGGTCACATCAGCACAGGAGAATAAGTGGAATTACTACAAAGCTCATTCCAGTATAAACAAAATAATAAGGTGACAAGGATTTGGAGCTTGAAAGTGAAATTTTCAATTAAAGAAACAAAAGCAAAAGCAAAAACATGTAACTTTTTCTCTCCATTCTAAGGTATTAACCTTTTAAATCCCAAGATCTGATTGTAAATTCTCCTATCAAACTGCTACACTTTTCATTCTTGTAATTTTGTAGTTACAAGAATTTGGTGTTTGGCCAAGAGAACCTCTACCTGACAAGATCGAGTATTCTCATACCCTGTTTGCTGGATAGTGCATGGATATAGTAGTGAGAAGTTATTTGTTAATCAATTCTGGGAGTTAAAGGATTATAGCAGGAATCCTTACCCTTGATCGCAGGTAAATTGGCAGGAAAACCCATCCAAGAAGCAGCAAAACCCAGCAGGCCTAGAAATGATTAAAAACAAATTGGACTGTTCTGCATGAAATGTAATTATAAACTACAGTTTATAAAACTTTTCTTCAGGGACACCATAATCAAGGCACAGTATACCCCTCCATTCTAGAGACAAACTCTGATTCTGAAAGAAATAACCTGCCTTGATAACCTTAATGCATCTGTAACCTTCATTCAAGGAACATGTATTAAGTCAGGGGACACTTTTTCAATTCACGAGGGTGTTCTTTGAATAGTAGCCTGCTAACAACAGTTAGCAAGTAGTAACCCAATCAGGAATTTTTTAATCAAGAAGCCTAAAATGATTGCATTTTAATCCCCATAAAGTCATCCACAGCCTGCAACATGCATGACTGAAACCCAAATTCTGGCATAAATTTATTCCCAATTGTCAGCCTGACTTGCTATTACTAACGTCGGCTGACAAATGAACTGAGATGTTGGCCAAGAATCAAAGCTTCCTACAGTAAAGATGATCTTCCCTATTTATTAGGATTTGCAATGGTAAATACACTCATCAGGGTTTCACTTCAAAGATCTAATTAATAATTCTCCTTATCATCTGCCATACAATTCTTGTGATGTTAGTTCAGAGAATTTGATATTGGATCAACTAATAATCCCATGATCGACATTCTTCTCTATTCTCATCACCTGCCTGCTTGATATCGTATTGATATTGTAAGGAGAAATTCTGTCTTGGTCACTTGTGGGAGTGAAAGGGTTAATAAGTTTAAAAGTAGGAAGTAAATACAAAAGGGCAATAGGTCAGATTGTTGAAGATCCCGTGATGTTTTGGCAGATAATATACGACACTGTCTAGAAATTATTCAGATGTTCTACTGATTATGCAGAAACCTCCAGCAAATACTTAAAAATAACTCCCAAATGTAAGCCTGTTTGAGGTCAATTATACATTCAATTCCTCTAAAAAAAAGAGGTAATGGCTTCAGTATAAATTTATTCAATGACACATCAATGATATTATAATTTTTTTTTAAACAGTAATTATGGTGAAATGAGGCATAAGCAACCAGCTCCATGAAAAAGCAGCAGACTGAAAAACATCTATGGCAGGTTATCAGAACTTCCTGATAGCTTTATCTATTAGGAACAAACTAGAACTACATAACTGACTGTTAAATTAAATTCAACTCCAACAGACAGTCTCCCACTTACAAACAATCAAAATGTTTTGCTGCACAACAATGGGGCTAACTTTTATCTACCTCTTAGTTTAGCCGCACATTTTAGACATTAAGTTCTCGACCTTGGCAGAATATGGCGCCTTCATTTATTAGGCTTTATTTCATGCCTAGATTGAACCTCTGTTAAAGGTCACACAAGTATCCCTTTTATATCTGAGTATTTAAGTACATAACTTGCTTCCAAATCCTAATGTGTGTCTATCTTTAGATAGCTGCTGCATATACAGTCAAGTACTGAGGTCTCCACACTTGACTTGTGCCATAAAAGCAACAGCTTATTTCAGCACCTCCCAGCTGTTATGTAATATGTGGCATGACTGTTCATAATGCATTTTCATTGAAAATAACTTGCTTTAAAATCTTAATGTGTGTCAATCTTTAGAAAGCTGCTGCATATACAAGTACTGAGGTCTCCACACTTGACTAATGTGCCATGAAAGCAGCAGCTTATTTCAGCACCTCCCTGTTACATAATATGCGGCAAGAATGTTTATAATGCAATTTCATTTAACATAACTTCAAAATCATAACGTGTGTCAATCTTAAGATAGCTGATGCATATACAAGTACTGAGGTCTCCACACTTGACTTATGTGCCATAAAAGCAACAGCTTGTTTCAGCACCTCCTAGCTGTTACGCAGTACGTAGCATGACTGTTTATAAAGCAGTTTCATCAAAATGAGTACAAAGTATTCTAATCAGAGAGAGAGAAGAAAAAATGTACCAAACAGCCACTCATGGTGTTATTATCATCAAGAATTCTGCCATGTCACTACAACATTATCTGAATGGTATATTAGGCCAATAAGCCATTGTTTGAAATTAAAATTATCAAAAAGAGATTGCGGTAACTATCCTATTCAATTATGAAGTGGAAGATAAGCTTGAGCAATTGCATTGTTCTAGTGAAAGGACTATTGTTTTTTGAAAGCATCAATTATGATTTTAGAAAACATGCTTTGGGGTGTTTTGACTCAAAGTTTATTTTGACAAAAGAATATACTTATGATAAAGTCTGTTTGTTTGCTTGCAATAGAGATGCAGCTGGGAAATAATTAAATTTGTTTTTTAATGAAAAATATTTTTTTCCTATATGATTATTGTTAATATTGTACCGCAAAACAACCAAAGAGAATTTAATTGAAAGTAACTTTAAAAATTAAAATTTCATTTCATTCAATCCCACCCAAAGGAAATGCCAAATTGGCTTGAAATAAGAATGATGAACAACTGGACAATGATTACTGAGTAATATATCGTTTTAAAGGCATTTTTGGGGGTTTGCTATTAAGGATGCCGACAAGTGTGGAGGAGGAAACTGAAAGACAGAGAAGCGTCCACAGTGAAAAGTAAAAAATGTTGCAATTTTTTGTTTGCCTTGATCTCCTGTTGTGAATTTTTATTAAGAAAGAAAGACATGCTCTGATTCCCTAGCGCCCGATCACATATATCATTACAAAACAAAAAGATCACCAATACCCACACAGAACCTAAACTAAGCTTGTTTGTGATCTAGAGCACAGCATTTGGGAACAAATATCAGCTGCGCATTACTTAGAAAAAAGACCAGATGGGAGTACAAGCGTAATATTGCAAAAGAACATCAACATCAACCATGCTTTGTTTCTTGCTCCTTCCAAAACAAGTCACTACTAACAACTCTTCTTGTTGCCGCAATTGTAGCAAAGCTCACGCCAGTTTGAAAGCTAACAGGGAGCAAATTATGTCCTGCCACAAGGACTTTGCAAAATTTCTCCAATTCAATTACGTCTTCTAGTGCAAGTAAACAGAAACAAAAACTTTATTTGTACCCATTCAAATGTAAAAATGCTTACTTCCACAGGTACAATGTACATCTCCTGAATACAGCAGCATTACAAGCATAGAGAATGCATACAATTCCTACAAATAACTGCAATCGCATGATAACCACTGAGTGATCAATCCAAGCTAATTACACAGCGCCCTTACCTGCCATTCATATGACACAACACCAATCCCTGTTGCTGCTCCAGAACCGGCCAATCCGACAAAGTGCTCACTGCCAATGTTACTGGCAAAAAGGCTGGGCCCCACCTGAAATACATTCAAGAAACAGAATTTGAGTCAAAGATATGTGCTGTAAAAAAAAAAAATCAATGGGTTTATTACATGGCACAAGTACATGGTTTGATATCCAGACTTTTCCAAATGGGTTGGGAGGAAGAGAGGATTTGTTTTAAACTATAAGAACATCAAAGTAATCTGGAGCTAATAACATTGCTTGACTGAAGAGGCAAGGCCAGCTTTGTTTAAACTCATGATGCGTTTTGTGAGACCAAGAATGAACACCAACAGTTTAAAACCATGGGTTAGAAAATCAAAATGATAGCAAGGACTACAAGGATAATCAGGATAGAAAACAACAATGTTGGATGAGGAAGGAAAGTCAGCTTTTGTTTGGATTACATAAGGTTATGTTTGAGAAATCAAGATCAAATTGGGATGAGATGCAAACTGACCGCGAGCGGATTATCTCAGGGCTCAATCACGGGTGTAACCATATCTCAGAGGATTTAAGGGTACATTTTACACATCCCCCTTCCCCTAAATACACTCCTTCTTCTTTCCTAACTTTGGAATAAAAACAGTACTTTACTATTGGAAAACATGTCAACTTGGTAGATTCTTAGCTTCCTCGATGTATTGTATACCACAAGCAATTTTGTCCCAAGTGCCGTCCTCAAGAACACAGTTTGCTACTTAATTTACCAGCCGATTAAAAAAGGGAGAGATGCTTTTAACCTGAGCCTGGAACAGATCAAAATGAGTACAGCTTTTTATCTCCTTTTCTTTTATCATTTACCCTTGACACCAAAGAGTGACTAGCCTCTACTTTCTCCTTGCAATATCACCCCTGAATCACACATTATTCAGCCCATAAGAATTAAGCAAATAAAGAAGTTCTCAATTTTTGTATGGATTCTCCTAGTCAGCATCTTAGTAAATGTATAGCAAACAGCATGGAGAATATGCAGGTTAAAAACAACTTACCGCCCACCACATCACAGATCTTCCCGCCAAAAAATATGTTTCGGCAGTTTCATTTCTGCCTCTCTGTTTTCGGAACTTAGACTGAAAAAAAAAAATAATAAATAAATTTGAGTTAGATTTTAAATAACAAAGAATATCCTAATGAGACAACTGGTAATCTGTGAATACTTGTGAAGATCAGGCACAAACTTACAACCATCAAATAAACTTTTTTCCGCATGAGTAGAACTAATGTTAATTCCACTGTCTATAGAAAAGTAAACAAGATCTTAGAATTATTGTGCTTGTTTGCCAATTTATATTACACTTTATCTGCTTTCAATAAATATTTGATATAAACTGTATTCCTCTACTATTTGTTACATATTACTACAAACAGATCAAAACAAAATTTCAGTGGAAGAATCCCTGAAAACAATGCGGTCATTGAGAGACAAGTTAAAGTATTTCAGCTGTATATTGCCGCTGTTTCTAATCATTTCCTTTCTAGCAAGATATCTGATTCAATAACACTCTTGATTTTCCCATAAATTGAAGAGGAGTTTTGAAGATTTTTAGACCAATTAATCCTGAAAAATATGTTTAGAATTCAAGGCAGTGGCAAGATGGACAACATATGAAACTGTTTTAAATCCTAAAAATAGTTTTGACTCCACTTTCACGGTATTCTGAAAAAAACATTCACACTGCAGAGGTTTAAAATGGTCAGAACAGCCACTATGAAAAGCAAGAGCTCCATATGTACACAAACAAAGCAAAACATTTATTGCTTTCAATGAGATATTGGCTTCATTCCCAAGGTTAAAATATGGCTTTGTATTTTACAGAGGTCAAGGAAGGTTACATGACTGCACTAATTCATACTCTTGAGTGCTATCCTTTCCAAAGGACCTTTTTAATCGCACAAATTTTGCCAACATATATGATGCAAACTCTAAAGTGTGTTGTTCTTGCAAACTCCCATGAGTCTGCAATTTGCATACACCATGCTGTCACATATTTAAGATGATTGACAACTAAACAGAGAGCATACAATGCGTAGGAAACGATAACGTAAAAAAACAATAGCCTTCCCAACTTAAGTGGCTGTTACCAACACAACCAAATCAGAGATCCATGGCTGGGACTGTAGGAAAAATAAATTCAAAGAAACAGGAGAAGGAATGATGCAACAGCGCTCTGCTGGAAAAGTTAAAAATCAACCAAGCTCTATCAAGAACCTGTCAGTCTCGTAAAATTACATCTGTTTGCGTCATTTGTCGACTCGACTCAAAGCGCGGAATATCACAGAAGCTCACGATACACACTGGCTAAAACGACGCTGTAATTACGCTTTTCACTACAGTCCTATATTCGAACCAAAGTTTTAATAGGGATCGAAAAAGACAAATCTGCACACGACTTTTATCGTTGGTCAACTGAGCATTACTCTATTCAAGAACATGTGTAAAATTATGCACAGGTCCCAGACACTACGGTCTACTAAGACGAACTACTTACATTGCGAGACTTTCTCCATCGAAATTTCAGAATGCGAGGAGAACGAAGGTTAAAATATAACAAGGCAACCGTAGCAGATGGCTAGTGTGGGTTTTGTTGTTGTTTTTTTTTCCGGAACGCCGCGACAAATTTGTTTTGAGACGATGCGTTGTCAACATCTTGAGTTTTGGCTATGTCTGCATTCAAGATCTACTCTTGTTCGACAAATAGCCTTTCCTAGAAATCCAATTCAGTTAACATGCCGTCTCCTAAAATATGACAATTACCGAAAGGCAGTAACACTAAAATTTTCTGTAAAATATTCTTACAAAACTTGGACTCACGAGGCGTACAGCGTAAGTTGTAAACAACCTCGCCTAGGTTTACGACCGATGGCTTTTAATGAACTGCAGATTGTGTTAAACTCACCCACAGTCCCACGATCATGCAGGCTATAAAATAGATCGCGATGATGATCCAGTCAGCGACCTTCAGGCGCTTTTGGTCTTCAGCATCCAACGTCATGTTTATTGTCTTTCAGGGATCAAAACGGAGGGGCGCCAAAGTTCCACGTTGCAACAACTCAATTTGTTAAAAAATAGCAGCTAACCTCGGCTGTCTTGATTGCAAATTTTTGCCCTTTGAACCTTTCAAATCGTACTTCAGAAACTTGAGGAGATTTCGGCGAGGTAACAGCTTCCTGATGAAATTTCCTGCGAATGAAGAAGCAACCGGTTCAAATTACACTCAATGTTACGTAAAGGCAATGTTGCAAAACGCGATGGAACCTTCGGTAAATGGGAGAGTTGGGGGCGTGAAAAAGGAGTGAGTGACACAGCACTCTGACGTTCTGATTTGTGATTGGTTCCTTCAAAACCCGCAACGCTTTGTTTTTAAGCATTGCCTATTGATCCGTAAATACAGGAATGGGAGGAAGCCCAAAGACGGACGGCGGATCGAAAGGGTAAACTGACTTCAAAGACTTACAAAAATAATCACTACAAAAAATAGATCTTTTTAGTTAACAACTAAAAATAACTTGTACGCTTGAGCTGATTGGACTCTCATCATCTTAAGACTTGACTTATAAGCTTACATAAAACAAACAAAGACTTAAATTCTATGTTTTCTTTCGTAATTGACATTGTTTATTTTAATCAGGCATCTAATTGTTGATCCTTAAATGTATTTTATCTTCTTATGATTCCATATTCTTCAAAACAGTGCAAGTGTGAAAAAGTTGCACTTTAAACTCGCAACCTCTAAAAAGTTGTGCCTTCATCGAGCGAAATTAAAAAAAAAAAAATTGGACGTGAGCAATTGCAAATTCAAACTTTGACCATCGAACCCGGAGATAAAAAAAGATTGACAAAATATTATCATCATCATTATTGTTATCATCATCATCATCATTATCAATGTTATCATTAAAAAAATTGCAACATTTTTTAAGTCCTTGAAATTTCATCATTCGAACGACGTAAAGGTTGCAGAATCGATTTCGACTGACATGAACAGCATCTAACACATTGAAACTGTTTTGGATGACAACAAAGACTTAGAATACTCAACAAGAACTGATCATCTTCAGATATATTCATTGTTATGTTTTGTTTTGTTTTTTTTCGAGAAATTCATGAAGAATTTGCAGCTGCAGCTCCTGCAAACATTCAATAGAGATTGGATTTAACTAGTTCGTTAAAAGATACATCAAAGTGGAATCCTTGCGTTCAATGTATCCTGTCCACTCCAAGCTTTGACCTGATATTGAAATTTACCTAAAAACGTGTGCCCTCGAGGAAACTTGTTATTTCCGCGTGCTCATAACACATCAACCAAAAAAATTGTTGACCATTTTGATTTCTTAAGAAGCGTGCAAGTCTACAAAATTAGAGAAAGTGGTTTATTATGGGTAATGTGTTGACCACAAAACGCGAAAGTCCTTTTAGAGTTGCGGTGAAACGAAATCATTCAAAGACCACACTGTGTAAACCAACTTGAATTAATTGGCCTATATTATATTGTAATAACGTCACCCTCGATCTTAACTTAACCAGCTTTCACTTTGACAGAATGGCCTTTAAATCCCTATGTTTATCTCATTAAAATTATGTTAGTTAAGTTTAAAAGAGATTTCATAGGGAATTTATTCGCGCTTGACTCACAGCGAAGTATTGCGTGAAAGTGTCACAATCCGTTATTCGGTGAGTTGACAAGGTATGTGTTACGTAACGGAGTCTGTGCGTCGAAGGCTTTGGAAACCTGAGTAACACGACAAACATATTTACTTGGCTCTTCTATAAATATCAACAAAAATATGCGATTAGCATTCTACTGCTTAGATATGAAGGAAGCAACTTCCAGATTCAAGCTCGCGTGAAAACTTTCAGTTTGGTCTTGATGAGCAAAGTGGCATTTTCGGTTTGTTTTTTCAAGATAATTGTAGTAATTCTTTTGAGATAGTAGTTTGCCTTAAGCGCTGAAACCATCGAACCATTCATTCCATTGATCTATATTTCGCTCAAATACTGGCGATAGTATAAAAACCCTAAATACAGGACTCTCAGAATAAATCTTTTAATATTTGCGCATTCACAGACAGTGTGACTCGGAACCCAATGTCAACAAATTATTATTTATTCCGAATTCTGTGAACGGCTGCCCTAAGGCATGTCTCAAAAGTTCGCCTACCTAACAGCAATTATATGAGAGACCCATTGTTTAGACAACGTCCTCTTGAGCAGAGTTGAGAGTCTTTCTATTCACGACCACAGAAGCATCGATAACGAGTTACAGCTACATTACATAATCGGGTGGCAAATACGTTCAAAGAGATACACACAATGTCGGCTCATGAAATTTGAAAGCATGCAAGAAAACAGCGTGATACATAACCGCACAATATAATACTATCATTCTTGGGCTACCAAACCCTCTTATGCTATTTTTAGCAAGGCAGTAAAATACCGTTGGCGCAATTCATAATTTTAAAATTGCAAACGAAATCTAGAAATGATGGTTTTACCTCAGTTATTTTGGGGCGTTGTTTCTGAATTAAGTTCAGGAGCGCATGGGTTTTTTCTTCGAATGTTGGCTTTAGGCATTTGACCTGTAGAGGCGAGTCCCAGTGATATTCATGTCAAAATTTGAAGCTTACAGAAATAACATCACGAAAAATCGATAACAAAACTGCGTTCCTCGAACATTGATATTACTTCTTTACAGCTTCGAATGCAAGAAAGATTCACACAAATTGGATTGCTTAGCTTACCGTTAATTACGTACGGCCCGTGGCTTTTGTTGTAGTGCAATGTCCTGTGTAACAGCACCTTTTGTCTAGTGTACTTTTTTACCACGAAATAGGACCCGCGAATTTGATAGCTTTCCTAATTACCTCTTGCCGAGCTTTATCCAATAGGGAAAGAAGAACTTTAACATTCCACTTAATGACCTATGAGGCGCTTGAAGGAAAATACTTGAATATTTCATGTTTAAAAGAGCTGAACCGGCATAAAATCCACGGCATTCTCGTCAACTGCATGTTATTTTTATTGCCCATAGCCCTGATTTGAAGGAGTGATCTCTTTTCTAAAATATTCAACTGCATTGTAAATGAATTGCGATGCAGTAACAGCGCACATTCGCTTCCGCAAATTTATCTCACGTGTTTATGATGAAAAATAATACTCTGTTTGCCTTTCGCTTGAAAATTTCGCCAGGTTCAATGTTTGGTAACATTTCAACCCTAAACAAATTTAATCTGTCCTCTAACGATGGCGAAAACTGTCACCATTTCTGGTTTGCGTGTGCGAATAAAATGATCCCACAAAGGAAATGACCTTAGTTAGCTTCGTGACAATCAATACCGGAAAGCCCGTTTGCAGAATAATCTCAAACGTTTTTCGCGCAGGATCACATAAGCTCCAGAAAAACTGAATGAAAGCGAAAGCAAAGAGATTGATTGCACTTTTTCCGAATCATTTTAACTCCAGTTAAATTGGTCACGTTTGCGCAATACATTTTATTGCATGAACTCGTGAAACTCCTGCAGATACGTGGCAGTCAACGGACACGTGCGTTACATAAATACAAAGAAGAGTAGTGTAACAAATGTTTTATCAAGGTCAAACTAAATCGGATTAGTCTACGGCATTTTTTCCTGTCTACTGTACGTTGAAGCTTCAATGAATGTCAGCCAAAGAGTTCTGCTTTCGCAATGTGACGTTTTGACCTTTGAACTTCTTTCCGAGACCAGTTCTTAGCGAATTCCTTGATAAATCTCTATTCAGTTTTGACCAGAATTTTAAAACTCTATTTAGCTGCATTAAGATATTAATATTGTTGGTTTATAAAAAAAATCCAACTCAATTTGTTTCTGATCATATCAATTTCCTTTTCCTTCTGAAAGCACCCTCTAAAACTTTGGTAAAGAAGTTGCTTTACCTTTCGCTTAAGTCTAGCGGTTCAAGTACGATAATTCAGCTGGCTTTCTTCCCATATTTTCATGGATTACATCAAAATGTACTTTCGCAAAAGGCAAAGTACACTTTGCAGGTTCTCACATCACTAGCGAGGCAGCGACGTCCTTAACTTTTTTGTGCATGCGTCAAGAGCAGTGAAACTGTCCGCGCTCTCTCGCATAATTTTCACGTAGAAGCAGACTTCGCGGGTCTCTACATCACCAATGAGGCAGTGACACCCCTTTTTGTGCACGTGCCTGAGGCTGAGACCGTTCGCACTTGCGTCGCACGTGTGACTGCTACAGCATCGAATGTTGGACGCTGCCTTGAAATCTTGTTGAATATTATGCAACAACCCTTGATGAGGAATTCATAGCACAAATATCTTTCACCATTGATGGCTACATTCCTCTGTGTGCAAGATTCTGAGTTCCCGATCCGGTACATAATTCAATATTCAAAACCCCAAGACAGTCCTTTGATTACAAAAGGATAGTACTTTCCGATTATGACGTTATTGTCAGCCACTTATGTAAACATTGTATCAGTCTGCCCTCTATTCGCTTTGGACCATAGTATTGGACGGTATACAAAGGCTAAATTTAAATTTACTCTCTCTTTATGGTTAAGAAACGAGACTGAGTATGTTTTAGCTGTGACGTTTACTCTCGCATGATTTGAATTTTAAGTGAATTCTGTTTCCTACAAGCAAAAACCTTGACTGCTCGCAGTCGGGGTCAGAACAACTTGAAAGGTCACCCGACTATTTTTTTTTTTTATTGAGCTCCTACGTAGCTCAAAGTACCGAACGGCGCCAGCCAAGCATTGTTGACATTTTTGCTAAGTGCTTTAGTTACTAAGTAATACATAAAATAGCTGTCAACTAAAAAACATTTTATCATTTCATTTTAGCACTCTCTTTGCTTATAACCCTCCCACGCCTTAACCAATCTGAAGTTTCTAGCACAAGTTCTCTTCCTTTGAGTAAATTCTCAACTAACCAGGTCTTTCAACGGGTTGGGGTCAAATTAATGTTACTCACTTAATAAATGTGATAAATGAGTGGTATAGTTTCCAGTCGACGGTATTTAAGGATAAAATGCAACGCGCACTAATTGAGTTTACGCAGATATCAGAGTGAGACCATGAATTTTGAAGGAAGCGGAGGTTGTCGATGTTTGTATAAATATAGACACAGTTTGACCATGACTCAAAACATTAGAGAAACATAAAAAGGGAGTTAAAAGTTAGAAAGAACAAATAACTTCCTGTTAACAGCTGTGTAACGTCTCTTTATCGAATCACATCAACAAGGCCTTATCAAACAAGTCTTTTCTTTCTAATTCGTGAAATTCGCGGTGTATTCCGTCGATAAGGAGAGCTACATCATAGCTCTTTTAAATTGAGAATTCGGTTTTTGCAACCAAATTCTCGGTGAACGAAAATGACAAATTTTCCTATGTGAAAATCCGAGCTGCTTAAAGTAACAAAATCGAAAGGTCGCTCTTTGTTCACTTCTAAGGTGGAGCGGAAATTCTGTTTCCCATCTGAAGGGTAAAATCTTAGCAAGGCTACTTTTGATGAACTAGTAAGTAATCTTTTTCCGCTGGCTAAACCGATATACGGGCTTCTGTGAATAAACCTGAAGGCTAAAAGTTTGCCATAATCATGACATACATTTGGATTTAATTAATAAATTTTTTTTAAAATATTTGTAAAATGGTTTATAGATTCCACCCGCTCAGGTCATCAATCACAAACCAGAGCTCTCAGTCGGGTCACTTGCTAACAAAAACAGGATTTTTTTGAACTTTGCATTCAGATCATAATTAATCTGATTTCCGATAACTTTTATCCGCTTCCTGAAATCTCCACCCACTCGGTCCATGTTTTCTCTTCTCTTTTCATCGCTTTTCATCTGGTTTAGGATCCGTTATTATTCATCACCGGAGGGGGGGGGGGGGGGGGGGGCGTGTCGTCCCTGACATAGTATAGAGAGAGGATTTTTGCAAAATTGATTGCCAATGAGGGGGATCATTCACAATACTGCTGAGCCTTGAGTAGGCCTATCCGGATTGTGCTCGGCAATTTTTTTAGCAACTTCTGACGTTTAAAACAACTTTTTGCGGTTCTTGCAACTTCGAGCAATTTTTGCAGCCTTTCTAAGGAATTTCTTAGCAACTCTTAGGAATAGACGCGATAAAGTCAACGATTTCATACAAAACTTCGATTTATGCAAATTTCTAGAATGTTCTATAGTCCTATTGTCTACTATTAGAACGGATAATCGGCTAAAAAGGATGCACCAAATAATCTAATAATGACTGCAGTCGGAAATGAAAGATTAGATGCAGTCTTTATTTGCTAGCAACTCTTTAAAGTTAAGTGCATTATTGCAAAGAACGAGAAATAAAGCTAATAATTAATTCTTATATAAAAATATCAAGAAATTTAGGAGAAGACTTTTGAAATTTAGGTAGCAACTTCTTGAATTTTTTGCAATTTTTTAACAACTGGCATCTCAGTGAGCAACGTTCGAGCACAATCTTGGGACAGGCCTGACCATTGGAGGGTGGGGAAGGGGGTGGGTCGGGTCTGGTAAATTATATTGTGACTCAACCAAAATCCTCCACTCTCCCTTGCCGGCGAAAAATTACGACCGGTCCCTTACTTTTTTTTACTTCGCATTCTTCGTATACTACGATGTAAACGAAGCTCAAACATACACACAAATTATCCGTTTTATTAAAGCTTATATAAAAATACACTTTGATAAAGAAAAATATATTTGCGCCGTTAGGTCACTTCAAGCATTTCGGGGAGGGGGGAGGGAAACCTTTTTCATTTATTTTTTTTTTATTTGCTTTTCCAACTTATTTCGTACCTCTTACTCATTTTACGAACAGAAAGGAACTCAATCAATAACCAAGAACTTTTCAAAAAAAGAACACCGTTTCTTCCCTTACAAATCATCAGCAATGACCAGTTGCGTGTCTTTTAGCGTACATCCACCTGCCTCACCAACTTATCAAATACTACCGTTCATTTCAGAATTG